GTGTTTGTGTGTGTGTGTGTGTTTGTGAGTGTGAGTGTGTGTGAGTGTGTGTGTGTGTGTGTGTGTGTGTGTGTGTGTGTGTGTGCACCTCAGGTGTTATGAATCTCCTTCAGCATCAGTAATCTATAATCAATAATCAGGGCTGTGTTCTACCTTCTGCAGCGCACATGTTCTGGTAGGAGTCCCATCTGGAGAGTGTGTCAGAGCTGGTGTAGTCCACCGTCACCGCGGGCCCGTTCTGATAGCGCTCTGAGCCTGAACACACACACACAGATCAGACGTATTAGAGAATATAACACACACTGCAGCTGTACACACACCAGCAGGATGAGCTGTGTCTCGTATTCAGGTCAGTAACACTGTGAAGCTGAACATGGAGCTGATCCACTGCTGTGTCTGTATGCTTTATATCTGGTTTCTATGCATGACTGAATCGTAAAGTCGGAACTGTAAACGGTGAATACTTCTGGGAATGAACCAATTCAAACAGGACAGGTATTCAGCAGACTGGGCTGACAGAGATGAAGAACACACACCTGGAAGTCTCTCCGGGCCGTCAGAAAACACCAGCTCCACTTTCCCATAATCTGGAAATCTGCTGTCTGGAATTACAGATCAGAAAGTCAGCATCAGTGCAGAACGGAGGAATCCTCCTGAGTCCACATGAGCAGACTGATCCCTCTGCCTGCTGCTCATATAGACGAACACCACATCAACAGAAGAGCCAGCGGCAGCATTCATCTGTGCTCTTCAGCTTCTGCATCATCATCATCATCAAAAAATCTAACCACTCTCACCATCAAAATCATCACCATCATTAAAATCATCAAAACCATGACCATCATCCAAAATATCACCATGATCAAAATCATCATCACAATCAATAATATCACTGGAATCATCATCATCATAATCCACACCATCAAAATCATCACCATCATCAAAATCATCACCGCAATCATCATCATTACCCTAATCATCATCATTAAAAATCATCATCATCATCATTCATCATCATCACTGAAATCATCATCACCATCATCAAAATCATCACAGCAATCATCATCATTACCATAATCATCATCATCATCACCATCATCCAAATCATCAATCTCATCATTAAAATCATCACCGCAATTTTTATAATAATCATCATCAAAATAATCACAATTATCATCAAAATCAACATCTAAATCAGCACCCTGCTCTTAATCATCATCATCAAAAATCAATTATCCTCATTTTCATCATCACTATCATCAAAACACTAATCATCCTGTTCATCATCAAAATCCCCCTTCACATCATCACCATCAAAATCATAATCATCACTGAAATCATAATCACCAAAATCATCATCCTCATCCTCATCTTCATCATCAACACAATCAAAATCACCATCATCAAAATAATCCATCAGAATCCTTAACACCAAAATCATCACAGTCAAAATCATCACTATCATCTTCACCATCAGTCAACACAATAATCATCAAAAT